TTTCCCGCCGTTGCATAAGAGGTGACTCTCGTGACCCAAGTGGTCTAGTGGATAACGCTTTGGTATTTGAAACTATAGGTACTGGTTTCGAGTCCCAGTGGGAGAATACCATCACTCACTAGGGTTTTGGGTATACATTCATTCAGATGACAAGTCTCAAATAGGACGAAATTTTTGTGTATCCTGGTGGATTCCGCTGCAAGTCAATCACTATCCACTGAAATTGCTTTGTTGTTTCCTGTTTTCTCGTAGCAACTAAATGAGTAGTCCAGTATTGACTTTGTAGGGATTTTGTTTGATTGCATGGAGGATTTCATCATGAGCTGACATCAGTTTACAGAACCATTGGAAAACCTGCAGGGAGTACTGGACAGTACTGGATATATGTGCGGAAGTTCAAGTCGCCACACTCCATGTAGCACACCAAGCAACAGAAGAAAGTAGAAGAAATGCAGAATAGAAACAGTAAACAGAGGTGTGAAACAAAGGAATATTAATAACGAAGAACAAAACAGTTTCATTGGAAATCAAAGTCACAAGGAGTGGATGCATCTGCGACAACCATTGAGAACGATTTTAAGCCAGCCATATCACCGATTGTCTCCAGCTTTCATTGATTTTTTCCGTTTTGAGGACCACAACCAGTTAGGATGTCTACACCTTCCTACGTGGCTTAGACTAACTGTTGTAGATTTCATTGAGTGATGAAAACATGTTTTGGCTTGACCGGAGCTAGCTAGCTCTTTTCCAACCTGCCTCTATATCAGCTAACATTGCCCACTGTCGAGGAAGTCAGTGACTAGGAATGCATACGTAACACATGTCCTAACCATCTCAGTCCATGTAACTTCACAGTCTCGTCGATTGATTTCCCCTCCTTACCTAGAACTCGACGCCTAACTTCAATATTGCTCACCACTTCATACGGGAGATAAAACGCAGTCACTTATGATCGAAGACAACTAGCTAGTCTTTTCATGTCTTCCATTCTCAATGGCCAGGTCGCACTCACAGCTGGCCATAAAGGAGGACGGAGCGGACTGATGAGCAGTACACCCGCCCTTTGGTCGACAGCCAGCCGGATATCACGTCTACTAGGCCAGAGATGGCGTAAACCGGCATATGCGAAACTAGCCCTGTGTGTATCCGTACTGAGATTTTGTCAGAGAATAACCTGTTGACACTGGTTGATGGTACTTCCCATATAAGTGAAGTGGTTAACGTGCTCTACCACTACTTCACTTCCTATTTATAATCTAAGAGTCGGTGTAGTCCAGTCCTGTAACATCATCTTGCATTTGGCGGGAGCGAATCGCATGCCAAACATTCGTAGATTGCGGCTCACCATTCATAGATTACGTATTTCTTTCGAATAAGTTCACAAATGGATATCATTTAGAGAACCATAAAAAAACCCAGCCATAAGGATTACTGCCAGACAGGTGTTTCATCCTAGTCTGGTAATCTTTATGAGTACAAACCCACCACCAGGGTTCCAACCTACAAAGTCAAGCCAGTTCATAGGCCATTCAACCACTTCGACCCGACTCCTCAATGGCCAGCCCATCAATTCTAACTTCTGCCAACTCGTGATTTCAGCGTGCCTGCCACCGGCTAATGTTATCCGTCGCGAGTATTTGTCCTCACTCCCTACTTGTTGGTGGACCACACTAGTCCCAACCTCCCCCATCAGAACTCCAGGCAATTTCATAACCAGATAGTCACGAGCCAGCATCAGATTGAATTGGAAGAGTTAAGTTGTCCCATAAGATCCAAACACTGGCAGTTGGTGAGCGTGTACTTCCGATGGATCCCAAACTGTCTGTCTGTCTTTTTTCAAAATAGGATTTCGCAAAGATATGCAGCAATTCAAGTTGCCACACTCCCTCCTTGTAGCACACAAAGCAAGAGAAGAAGAAAGTAAAAAGATATACAAAATAGAGACAGTAAACAGAGATATGAAGCAAAAAGAATAGTAACATCGAAGAATAATATAGTTTTATCGGATATTATAAATTACAAGGAGTGGATGCATCTCTGTCAGCCATTGACAATGAAGATTTTGAGCCATATCACCACTTGTCTTCAGCCTCCATTGGTTTTTACCATCGCGAGGACCCCAACCAGGCAGTCTACACCTTCCTACGTGACTGTCTGGCTTAAACGAACTTTAAAGTAATTAGTTCCCTTTACGAATTTCGACAACACAGTAAGAAGACGTAGTTTATCTGAAACGTGTAATGTATTGGCGCAACACATTTCTGATATTCTGACCACACACACGTACTTGTCATACACAGTTTTTAAAGAAGGCAAGAAGGCATGAATAATTACAATACAGGTCAGATTGTGTACAGGTCAAGGTCACAAATAATGGGTAGGGAGACGTAAAAACTGTGGGCAAGAAGGATAAAGAGAGGAAAAACAAGGCAAAGAAGGGGTTTGAAAATATTATGAAGTAAATTGGTCCTTGGTTCTAAATTGGATTAACAAGGCAGGTTTAAGGTGATAACAAATAACTTTTGGACACACAAGACAGGTTTAAGTCTTTTTATGGCTAAGGCTTCAATGAATTTAAGTATGTGAGCCAACCAACGTTTTAAACGAACTGTTGTGGATTCCATTGACTAGTTGATGATGCCATGCTTTGGTTTGACCGCCGCTAGCGCTAGCTCAATTTTCATCCTGACCCTATATCAGTCAGCTAACACTGTCCACCGTCGAGGAAGGCAATGACTAGGCATGCATACGTAACACATGTCCTAACCATCTCAGTCGATATAACTTCACAGCCTTGTCGATTGGGTCCCACTCAAACTAGTGAGAGAGAACAGCTGTCTGTTAGTTAGTACTCCTTGTTAATGGCTTTAAATGATGCTTGGGTCTATCAGATTGAAGAAACTATTACTCACTAGGATAGCTGAGACATCCCCCCCCCAAATAAGGACAAAATTTGCACAACGACCTAAATTTCTACCAGTCACCTAATTAAAATAAAAATCTCACTTGATGAATAGAGAGAGGGAGAGAGAGAGTTAAAGTATCACACTTTAAAAAAACACACGATGGAATGAATGATCAGAACAATAACAATACACTGTTGAAATGCATTCACTTACACACCTCTTGTGAGGAGTTAGTTAAGTCAATGTATGTTTTTTTTCTTCCAACCACTCTAAATCATTAACAACAACAACAACAACACATATTGATCAAGATTTGTAAAATTTTCTTTTTAGTGTCAAGTACTTCACAGTTGAGTTGAGTGAAGTTAAGTTAAGATGATTTAGGAGAGGAGAAAACATCACCACAACCATCATCACCACCACGGATAACAAGGGTCATTTCTACTGATCTGATCCCACTTGAAACAATATGTGAATCAATCGTTGTAAAGAAAAAAAAGTGGGTGAAGATGGGGTGGGGGGCGGCGGGCCGCAAGGGGCGAGGGTTAAACCTTGAAAGAAGAGAGTTGCTTCTAATAGAGATGTTGAATAATACAAAAACAGAAAGAAGAAAAAAATCTTTTTTCTCGGACCTGTTCAAGGCATCAATGTCAACAAGATCACTTTATATTAAGTGTGTATGTGTATGTGAGTGTGTGTGTGTGTATGTGTGCGTGTAGAAATCTTTTACGATATACAAGTTATTAAATATTGCCTAAATGAGAAAAAATATAAATTAACCAGGTAAATGTGTCAACAACAGACAGTTAAAGACACACAGAGAGCTAAAGAGGAGAGGGGACGGAAAATAGCTGTTCACATCAAAACGGAACTACTACTACTACTACTCAATCAATAATGACTCTTTCATTATAAATGCACTAATCGATTTAACTCTAACTGCTGACTTCAGAGACTCACAGGGATTGACTTGCTATCAGGCTATGAATAATCTCGTTGACTTAGAATATGCAGATGATATAGTCCTCTCCCCTAGGTGAAGACGCTGACAAAATGCAACCGAGTCTTCTGAACACCTTCAGCTGCAATCTACGAATGTTTGGCATGCGATTCTCTCCCCTTGTCAAATGTAAGGTGATGACACAGGATTGGACTGGACTACACTAACTCCTAGTTTAAAAACAGGAAGTGAAGTGGTAGAGCACGTTGACCGTTCCACTTATTTGGGAAGTACCATCAGCCCCAACGCCAACAGGTTGTTCTCTGACAAAATCTCAGCACGGATACACACAGGGCTAGTTTCGCATATGCCAGTTTACGCCATCTCTGGCCTAGTAGACGTGGTATCCGGTTGGCTATCGACCAAAGGGCGGGTGTACTGCTCATCAATCCGCTCCGTCCTCCTTTATGGCTGTGTGAGTGAGAGCTGGCCATTGAGAGTGAACGACATGAAAAGCCTAGCTACCTGTCTTCGATCATAAGTGACTGCGTTTTATCTCCCGTATGAAGTGGTGAGCAATATTGAGGTTAGGCGTCGAGTTCTAGGTAAACAGGGGAAATCAATCGACGAAGCTGTGAAGTTACATCGACCGAGATAGTTAGACTGTGTAATACGCATTCCTAGTCATCGCCTTCCTCGACGGGAAAGGTTAACTGACATAGGGTCAGGTTGGAAAAGAGCTAGCTAGCTCCGGTTAAGCCAAAACATGTTTTCATCACTCAATGAAATCTACAACAGTGTCAAACCAGACACGTAAGGATGTATAGACTTCGTGGGTGTTTGGGGTCCTCGAGACCGTAAAATCCGACTGAGCCAACGGACAGTAGTCCGTGAATTCTAACTTCTGCCAATTCGTGCATGACACAGCGCGACCACTTTGCAGTATTCTTTGATGAATTACCGTCTTTATCTTCGACCTGATGAAATCCTACAACCAATCAAACAAAATCCCTACAAAAACAAAATACCTGATAAGATTTTTAAGCCCGTATGAAGCACTTTTTAATCACTCACCCACTTCATATAGTGACACAGTAAAATTAGCTATCAGAAAATAGTTAAAAACTAAGCTAAAATAATTAAAAGCAACTTACTTAGATTTTCACTAGGACGTTCATCATAATTGGGGAGACACTTTAAAGACCTAAGAACAAAAGAGGATATAGTGAAAAGAGGATATGAGTTTAAGTCGAATGAAATACAAACTAACGAAAGAAACTGTACTTCATGCAGACAAACATAAGGCATAGCCAAGTAGGTTTATTTTACTACATCATATAGATGACCACTCTCCAAACTCGGTGGCGATTATAACGCCATTTTGTAACTGCACATTGGTAGTCTGTACGCGTTAGTTGGCTGATACGTGGAAAATTGTCTGGAAATCAGGTGTCTTTTCAATTTAAATCATGAATACTGTTCGGAAAGAATGTTATTCAGTACCCTAATATAGTTAGTTTTACCTAAGATCTTTTAAGGATGTTGAAGTTATCATAAGCCAACAGAGCTTGATGAATGATATGGTGTATATGGGCGTAAGTAAGTGTCTAAGTCCTGTTTAACAATTTCGGTCTTCCTGTGGGTCTCTCTCTGGAACTTCACCTAATGTTTCTATTCAATTTTTCCTGTTTATATCGTTATTAATTTTAATATTCAATCCATTACCAAGTCTCTTATCTTCTCCCGTTACCCAAAAAGAAAAACAATTTTCAAATACAGCGGTTTAATATACGTATGTGAGAGTTAGTCATCCTTGTCTTATTTCGTTCCATTATTATTTCATCATTCTCTCTAGGCTTCCTCCCTACCTTTATACCTAATGTAACCTAACGCTTTTAAGCCAAAAAAAAATAAATGACACAACCCCATTTCATTGATAATGAGACAATTACAGAAATGTAATATGTACATATGGAATAACAGCTGTATATACTGTGAAAATCCATTACAGTTGGTTGCTGCATAAATTAGTATAATGGAATGATAACTGGAGACGTCGCGAAGGTGTGGGGTGTGGTGGAGGGTGAAGGAAGACAGAACATACACACACACACTAGAACACAGACTTTCAGCTGATTGCATTCGACCACACAGCATATCTTTTACAATTCTAAAACAAATTTATATATATATATATATATATATATATATATATACATAACCAGATATGATAGAGAACATTTGCAGCTCAAGTGGATGATTTTGATGTGGTTGTGTTCTCTGAGCAGGATGGTAGTTAATTTGCGAAGCTTTCATCGCGCCCCCCACTAGGCGACATCTTCAGTGCATACTTCAGTTTGAATTGAAATGAGCTTTGAAATTTCTCCACGAGTTTATTAATCATTCCTCCTGGTGATCTTGGACATGATTGGTTGTTTTTGTGTGTTTTCACACCTTTTACGTTACTTGTATTGGAAGTGATTGTTTCTTTGACTTAAACTTTGGCTCTTTGTGTGTGAGGTTTCTTTCTTATTGGTTGGTAAATTTTGTCTATGTCGATGTGTCTAGTGATTGATGATTCACAGGAATACCAGGCTGGCTTCTGAAAATTCTCTAGCATTCTTGTTATTTCCTTTGTCTAATATTTGAACGTTGGTTGTCCCACTCGAATTGATGTCCGCGGTTGTCTGTATATAGTGATATGAGGAATTGCATACAAACATTATTCTAGAGGGCCAGGACTCACTGCAGCACTCCCACATTAAGGAAAATTGAAGAAAAATATCTCATGGACGTCTTCCAAAAGAATGGATATCCACGGAACTTCATCAAAAGACACAAACCCCAAGCCAACATATCAAACCCAAAAACCCCCAATGAAAGCACAAAGAAAATCGCCTTACCATATATAAAGGATATCTCAGAAATCACTTCAAGACTCTATTATGTACTCGTCGCCAAATTATTATTATGTACTGGTCGAGAATTTAATAGTCCTGACGCAAGAAAGACGGAAATCAGAAAACCACTAGGTTTGCGATGATACTTCTATTTTCCAAACACAACGAGAATCAAAGTCAGACAAGAGTGTGAGAGCAAAAATATATATATAATGTCCGAACAAGTGCGTGAACAACCAATAGACAGTCTTAACATGATTGGCTAATTATAATGGAGTATCGATCCATATATACATAGCAAAATATAGCAGATATGTCAACAAACACACATATTATATGGATATATATCACCAAGGACAGACTGTCAACAAACACACATTATATATAATATAAGGGGAATATACATTGTTAAAGGAGACAGGTTCATCAAAGTGAAATGGTCACAGACTAAGAGAGCAACAGAAAGAGAGACCACCATATATATATATATATATATATATATATATATATACATATGGATACATATCAGACTCTTCAAACCTTGATGAGCAATTGACGTCTCATACAAACCAACAAAATCACTTCACTCAGCTGGCTCCATGTCAACCAAAAGACTCAACAGCGAAAGAAGATAGAATCAACATCATCTACAAAATAAATTGTAACAACTGAGAAAAACACTACATTGGACAAAGTGGACGTCCCCTTGATCATCGTATCCACGAACATAAGCTAACCATCAAAAGATATGATATCCACTCCCTCACTCAAATCGCCTCTTTACCTACAGACAACTACGAACATCAATTCGACTGGGACAACCAACGTTCAAATATTAGACAGAGGAAACAACAAGAATGCTAGAGAATTTTCAGAAGCCAGCCTGGTATTCCCGTGAATCATCAATCAATAGACACATCGACATAGACAAAATTTACCAACCAATAAGAAAGAAACCTCACACACAAAGAGCCAAAGTTTAAGTCAAAGAAACAATCACTTCCAATACAAGTAACGTAAAAGGTGTGAAAACACACAAAAACAACCAATCACGTTCAAGGTCACCAGGAGGAATGACTAATAAACTCGTGGAGAAATTTCAAAGCTCATTTCAATTCAAATTGAAGTATGCACTGAAGATGTCGCCTAGTGGGGGGCGCGATGAAAGCTTCGCAAATTAATCATCCAGCTCAAAGAATACAACCACATCAAAATACGTAAGCAGAGTTAAACACAGAAATTCACTGTTTTAGTCAACAATACGGTGCACTTTGAAATGTAGATATATTTAGATGGTTGGAAGCTATCGGAACGACCCTGGTTACGCGCTTGCTGACGCACTTCACCAGTAACAGGAAGGTGTATCTGCAATCACTTTGAAGGAATTCATGACCCTTCTTCTGAGATTCACACCCAAATCACTCAGTGAGTGCTGCAGTCAGAGACGTTACCACTGAGTTATTCAGGAACACCGTCGAATATCAACAAAACCCTTCATTTGATGATATTAGATGGTTGAAGGCGCAGTCGGCCACAGGAAGCCTTGCTTGACTTAGGTTTCGTGCTAGTTGTAATTCGTCAGAAAGGTTGCAGATACGTCTTCCTGTGACTGATGAAGTGCCAACAAGCACAAAACCACCTAGGTCAAGCTGGCTTTCCTTCCTATTGCCTCCAACCGTCAAGTATCAACATTTCAAAGTGCGCCGAAATATCAAGCCAAATAGGAAGAGTGCTGTGTCCAATCAAAGTATCCACTACAGTCAGACAGGAGGCCAATCGCGAGGCTGAATAGCTGACTCAGTGGTAACGTCTCTGACTGCAAAACTCACTGGGTGACGCAGGTTCGAATCCCACAAGGTACATGAATTCATTTGAAGTTGCAGATACGCCTTAGTGATGAGTGCCAACTAGCATAAAACCTGGGTCAGTCAAGGCTTCCTGTGGCCGATTGCCTCCAACCATCTAATATCATCAAATCAATGTGCACCGTAACTGCAAGCTACCTAGAGTGGTGGCCACGTTGTAAAACCTGACTGATAGAATTTAGTCTGAAACAAAGAAAGGACTAGACACGCCACACTAGTTACTAGTGTCAAATTAGAAAACATTTCATTATCCACATGTTTACCTAATGGAATTGAAGGTGAGGCAGTAACTCATCGAAGAAGACAATGCGAAGCGATCGCGCTGTGTCGTGCGTAAATTGGCAGAAGTTAGAATTCATATATTACTGGTCGTTGGATCAGTCAGGTTCCAGTTGGTCAATGGTTTATGAGCTAGCTCGCTGGCCTTGTAACCGGAAGGTCGTCAGTTCGAACCGTGATGGTGGGTGCGTACTGATGAAGAGTCACAAGAGACTATGACGGAGGAAACAGCTGTCTAGCAGTACTCCCTGCTGGCTAGTTTTCCAATGGTTCTATAAACTGATGTCACCTCATGATGAAATCCTCCAACGAACCAATCAAACAAAGCCAAAAAAAATCCCTACAAAAGGCCAATACTTGAAAATATTACACCACTTATAGTTTACGCCAAAGGAGAAAGATGAACTTACATGGATACTTTAGCTTTACGCAATCCAAATTGTTGTTGTAGAGAGTCCGAAGTTGAATGATTTACTATGCCATTAATATTACTATTATTGTTTGTTGTATTTGTTGTAATATCTTTAAGACTGCATAAATTTGAATTGCCCATCTGGGTTGAATCTTTCGCAGCACTTTTCTCTTGTAGGTAAGCGCGTAAAAAGTTGAAATACGCCACCCAAATCTATATTTCATGAAAATAGATCAGAGCATCAAATTAAATGTTTAGAGTTTGTTTGGAAGGATTTGATTCGTTTTTCAAGTTTGACCACGGATCGATATCAGTTAGGGAGTACTGGACAACTGTTTCATCCCACTAGTTTAGAAACCATCGAAGGATTCGAACTAAGGACCTTTCAGCTACAAGACAAGTTAGATCGTAAACCATTCTCAGCTACTGGAACCGGACTAAGTGGCCTATGGATTCTTTTGTTACTGGCCACAGAATTAGGGTTCCCTGGAGTTCTGATGAGAAGTCGTGACTAGTGGGATATACCAACAGGTCAGTAGTGAGGACGTATGTTAATCAAGGATGACACTCGCTGGTGCCAGTCGCCCTTTAAATCACAAATTGGTCAGTAGAAGTTAGAATTCATAGGTTGACCACTCAGGGATCAGGTCCCGGTGACTAAATAGAACACAAGCTAGCTTGACCTGTAACCGGATGGTCTTGAGTTCGAAACCCAATAAGTGCATGCTACGATGAAACAGTCGCCCAATACTTTCACCTGGTTTTCGGTGGTTTTCTAAATGATATCGATCAATAATCAAACTTGAAACAGGCTTGTAAATCTGTCGTAAAAGTTATCCATCTATGTATATATATATATATATATATATATATATCTGTTTGTCTGTCTGGATTCAACATAGAACTTGGCACCGAAGTGCAGCAGTTCGAGTTGCCACGTTCCAAATAGCACACAGAGGTAGACAAGAAGATGAGTGAAGAGAATTAATAGAGTTTGACAAATATAAGAGTGAAACAGAATGGGTAATGGTAGAAAGGAATATGAAAGATTACAGAGACTGAATACATCTGCGCCATTGACAACGATTTTGAGCCATGTCACCTATTGTCTCCAGCCATTGATTCCTAGAGTCCCGAGGGCCCCAACCCGGAAGTCTGCATCTCCCTACCTGACTCAGTTTAACTGTCAAGGATTTCATGGATTGATGCCATGTTTTTGTTTGGCCACCACTGGCTCTTTTCCAACCTGAACCTATATCAGCTAACAATGCCCGTCGGGGGAGGCGGTGGTTAGGCATGCGCACCACGTGACCTAGCCATCTTAGTCTATGTAACTTTATAACCTCGTCGATTGATTTTCCCTCTTTGCCCAACACTCTACGCCTAACGTCAACATTACTTATCTTGTGAAACCACCTAACGTGAGACAGAGATCGCAGACATCTATGATCGAAAGCAGTCAACCTTTTCATGTCTTCAACGCGTATTGGCCATGTTTCAGAGCCATAGAGAAGGACGGAGCGAACTGATGAGCAGTACACACGTCCCTTGGTTGATAACCGGATGTCACGCCTACGCCAGAGATGGTGTAAGTCAGCGAAAGCAGCTCGAGCTTTTCGGATCCGTGCTGAGATTTCATCGCCAATCAGTCCGTTGGTGCTAATACAACTTCCCAAGTAGGTGAAGTGGTCAACATGTTCTATCACTTCACTCCCTATCACTAAGTTAGGGGTTGACGTGTCCAGTCCTGTAGCAGCATCTTACATTTTGCAGGGGCGAATCGCATGCCAAACATACGAAGATTGCTGCTCAAGGTGTTCAGAAGACTCTGCATTTTGTCAGCATCCTCCCCTAACAGGACTATGTCATCTGCATATTCTAAGTCCATTAGATTATTCCCTGGTAACAAGTCGATTCCTAAGTCACTACGTTCAGTTAAGGATACTTCCATTAGCATATCTATGATGAAGTTAAACAGAAATGGGGAAAGTGGACATCCCTGTCGGACACCACTGGTTGTTACTAATTCAGATGACAATTCCCCATAAGCCCTTACACGACTACGTGAGTTTGAATAGAGTGCCTTGATTAGTGCAATGTACTTTCTTGGCACTCCCTTCACAGTCAGACATTGCCATAGTACTTTTCGGTCCACGGAGTCGAAGGCCGCCTTCAAGTCAAGAAATATGACAATTGTTGGACGCCGAAAAGTGTGTCTATGTTCTAGAATCTGTCGAAGAGTGAAGATATGATCTATGCACCCTCTACCTGGTCTAAAGCCTGCTTGATTTTCCCTTGTCTGTTCCTCCCGAGTTCTGCTTAGTCTATGCATGATTACTGAGCCTAGGATTTTAGAGACTATGTTCGTTAGGCTGATCCCCCTATGATTATCACACGAGGACTTGTTTCCCTTCTTGAATATCGGTATAATGAGTGACTTACCCCAGTCTGATGGTACTGTCTCTGATTCCCAGACTTTGCCTAGTACCTCAGTTAATCTACAAACTAGTATGTCACCCCCATATTTAAACACCTCCGGAATAATTCCGTCGGGTCCTGCCGCTTTGCCTCGTTTCAAATTACTGATAGCTTTTGTAACCTCACCTACAGACGGCGGACCAGTGTCTATATCCCATTCGGGTACGTGGTGGATGGCGGGGAGGTTCAGTGTGGCTGTAGGCAAGTTAAATTGTTCCTCAAAGTGTTCTTTCCAGCGTTCAAGGCGTCTATCCTGAGAGCTAATTAAGGAGCCATTTTTCTCAGAAATAGTCTCACTTATGAATTGCCTTTCCCGCCCGATTCTGTGATGAGTCTAAAGAGTTGCCTAGTGTTGCCTATCGCCAATGCTTTTTCCATCTCTTTCGCCTTTGTCACCCACCACTGTTCACGGTCCTTGCGGAGACTTTTAGTAAGTTTCCTTTTGTGCAGCTTTCGCTCCTCATTGAATTCGGAGCTCGCCGGAATAAGTCTTCTAGCATCTATCAGTTCGGATGAGGCAGTCGAAATCCAGTGGTTTTTACTCACCTTTGGATTTGTCTTATTCACAGCTTTTACAGCTGTATCTATAGCTGACTGAATATTCTTCCAGGCTTCTCCAGGGTGAGCACAGCTGTCGGATTCAGATATGCGTTTAGCTAGTTCTTCCTCAAATAGGGATTTAGTTTCCTGATCGAGCTGGGGACGTGATGGTTTTACCGCCAGCTGTTTCCTACGTCCGTTCAGTCGTAAGCACACACGAGCCCGGACCAGTGCGTGATCGGTATCTACACACGTGTTCCAGAAGGAGCGACAATCTCCTACCGACCCACGCCAACGATAGCTTATTGCTATGTGGTCTATTTGTGTCCAGCGTTGGTTTGATGATGGGGGTCGCCAGGTTAAACAGTGTCTCTCCTTGTGTTTAAAGTTAGTGCTTACAAGAAACAAATGATTATCTGAACAGAACTGTAGGAGACGGTCACCGTTGTCGGTTCGCTGGCACGGAACTCCATAGGTGCCACCGACATCCTTCTCAGATTGACACAATTTCCCTACTTGAGCGTTAAAGTCACCAGCTAGAACGACTATATCTGAGCGTTTAGCCTTTCTCACCAAACTAGACAGCTTTTGGTAGAACTCATCCTTCGTTTCATCCGAACTGCAGTCAGTGGGGGCGTAGGCGGAGATTACGAAAAGGCATCGGCGAGTAGTGCAGTCCTTTCTCCTTCTTACTGATCCGTTCAGACGGACAGCACACATTCGGCTATCTACCGGGATCCAGTCAAGCAATGTCTTTTCTGCCCTAGTACTCAGAGCTATCCCTACGCCAGCTAATCCCGTGAACTAGCTGTGGCATCTCCTGACACCCTCAAGGTGAATTTTGAAGATTCATCCTGTTGGCCAGGTGGGGTTAGGTGAATAACCACACTTGGGTCTTGTATGCGTGTTTCTGAAACACAACATACATCAATGGCTCGAGATGCCAGGGTCTTAGCTAGTGATGCTTGTTGTCCTATTTGGCAAAGTGTCCTAACATTAAATGCTCCTATATGAAATTGGTGGCGTGGCTTTAGGAGACTATCCGTGGTGGTTTTTTGGCTTTCGTCGTTTTTAGTGGACACAGAGTGAAGAGGGAGTGAGGAGCCATCAAGTAGAGGAGTTGCATCAGTGGAAGGAAGGCAAGGTAATAGAGATGAAGATGAAGACAAAGATAAGTGAGGATTAGAGAGGTTTTGTGTGCATTTCGGATTGTGAGGGCGATTGTTACTTCCCGGCTGCCCACACCGTGGAAGTTGGTTGCGTGACCGCAGAGCCCAGGGGACAACTGCTTGTGGCCGGTCACACGCGGCCTGTTTTTGTTCGTTCTTCGTTGTTTTGTGTGCCTCAGTAGCATACTTATCACTCCCGCCCTGTGACACGGCAGCAGGAAGCGCGGTCGTTGTTAATCCGGGCCACGGCCGATCCGGCATGAAATTTTGTGAATTTGTTTGGATCATGGTATTGGATGAGGTAGCTGCTTTTTGTTTAACCGCTATCCAAACAACCTGCCTGGCATGGTAGAACCTCAAGAGACATAAGTCTCAGCCAGTATAGCTTGATTAGGTCATTGCGGTGTTCAAGCCCGACCACCACGTCAAGGTAGCATATATATATATATATATCTGTCTGTCTGGATTCAACAGATGATGAGTCCCGGTCGAGACGAAACTTATACACTGAATTCTGTTAGTCTCTCCCCATTAAACTAGCAACTACACATGATGAGTATTTGTAACAAGCATAAATTCTTCTCATTAAGTCAAAATGAACATCGGTTACACGTAGAAATGCAGGTACATCCAGCTGACGAGTCCCAAATAGGACGAAATGCGCATCCTGGATTCCACTGCTAGTCACCATCCATCAATTAAATGAAGGAAATTATCTTTTAAGAAAACATTTTAGCTGATAAATTATATTTGGTTTTAAAAGTTTGAAAATGGATTGATATCAGTTAGAGAACCATTGAAAACCGGTTACAGAGAGTACTGCCAGACAGCTGTTTCATCCCACTAGTTTGAGAATCATCGGCAGTATGCACACACCAGCACTGGGGTTCGGACCCAGGACCTTTCGGTTACAAAACAAGCTGTATAAACCTAGACGAATGAAGATGGAAGTATAAGGTATAAGCTTTGACTTTAGTCAACACAATTAGTGGAGGGAGGGAGGGAGGTTGGCGGCAGCAAACATAAGAATTATTGTGCAAGGTACCTGAGAATTTGTAGACATGAAGTACACCTGACAGGTGGTTTAATCAATAATTTCAAAAGATATTGACACAAGTAGTTGCCATTCCCTCATTCAACTTAACACTAAACAAATACTTCTGAATCGTTAGATTTCTTCTTCACGAACCAACATTAGTGAGAGAGAGAGATCGTTGAGAACTAGTAGGGAGGACTGGACAGTTGTTTTGTCCTTGTCTGAAACTCTTCAACAAAGCAGTCCACACCCATGACTTATACAAGGGATATAACCCGGGACATTCAAGTTACGGGACCATGCTGGAATTGAAGGACTTGTGGTGAGGGTAGACGCCATATCACGAAGTCAGTTCTCCGACTCAATTGCCTGAATGGTCAACAAGTTTGGTCTGGTAACCTGAAGGTTTCGGGTTCGACCCTGATGTAGAGTCATGCTTGTACACTGTTCTGATGAAGAGTTCCAAACAACTACGAAACAAATGTCCAATGATCTTTCCAACTGATTTTGGTTTGTGATGGAGTCTAACAGCTCAAATCAATCTAAGCCTTTACAAATCCCATCATCTGAAAGACTTGGGGATTGCAACAACTCTACAATAAAAAGCCATCTGCAGATTCTATCTTATACTTACTTTCGATTAGACGACGTAATAGTTGATGCTGGGACTCACTAGAATTCAGCATCTATAGTGAGTGGTGTATTACCAATGCAGTTCCATTATCAAAGACTGGGGATGCAGGTGCATGCAGATGATGGATCCCGAATAAGACAAAACTGACGTCTTAGATTCCATCACTAGACACCGTCAAGGAAATAACTTAATAAATAAAACTCAGTTGCCTATAACGGAAATTTTATGGACCAGACTATGTCACCCTTATTGTAATGAGGGATGATAATATACAACACTGAAATAGGTAGGTTGGGGGAGGGGGCGTTCAAACCTTGGACCCCCATTGGCTGGGAGTGAAGTATACCAGTAGGCAGCTGATAAATCACATTTCTAAAAGAACAAGTCCAAAAACATATATATATATATATATACATATATCAATCAATAACAAACACTCATATATCTCACCTCACAAAGGTTATAAGGCAACGGTGTTGGAAACATAATGTCAATATCATCTGATGATGTTATAATACAATGAGGTGTAATTGTACTACCGTATTCATCTGAGAAAAGAAGAAAGATAACAGGAGTCAGTATAGGCTTAGCAAAATCAGAAGAGCTGTCTACAATTTATAATACACCAAAAGTAGGGGATGTACTCTATAGCTTCACATAAAATTGTCTTTTAATCAGTGCCATATACTCAGCCGGAACACTGTTGTCAATGTTAGTTAACATTAAAAAAAAAACAGTTTGTTTATTGGAACTGGTCTGCATTGGCGGCTGACAAAAAGGCTGTCATTGCTTAAGCGTTTACTGGTTGGCAGAAAATCGGAGAAATACAACTGTTGTAGAACATGATATTAGATAGTTGGAGGCCATGCCTGGACCTGAGTTCCGTGCTAGTTGGTACTCGTTAGAAAGGCGTATCTGCAACCATCTTGAAAGAATTCATGTCCCTACTCCTGAGATTCGAATCCGCGTCACCCAGTGAGTGCTGCAGTCAGAGACTTTACTATCATCGAGTCAGCTATTCGGACTGGTGAATGATCGCCTGTCGGACTGTATTGGGTATTTTGATTGAGCACTAGTAACTAGTCTGACGTGTCTGTCTGTTTTCGACATAGAACTTTGCACAAATGTGCACCAGTTCAAGTCGCCACACTTCCTCCTTGCAGCACACGAAGCAAGAGAAGAAAGTACAAGAAAAGCATAATAGAGACAGTGAGCAGAGGTGTGAGACAAAGGAGTAATAAAGAAAAACAAAACAGTTTCATTGGAGATCATAAGTCACAAGGAGTGGATGCATCTGCGCTGGCCATTGAGAACGATTTTGAGCCATGTCACCAATTGTTTCCAATCATAGAGTTTTACCGTCCCGAGGACCCCAACTAGTCAGGAAGTCTACACCTTCCTACGTGGCTTAGACCAACTGTTGTGGATTTCATTGACTGGTAAGGCCAAGTTTTGTTTGACCGCCGCTAGCTCTTTTCCAGCCTGACTCTATATCCGCTAACAATGCTCGTCGAGGGAGGCGATGGCTTGGCATGCATACGTAACACATGTCCTAACCATCTCAGTCTTTGTAACTTCACGACTTAGTCGATTGATTTCCCCTGTTTACCTAGAACTCGACGCCTAACTTCAATGTTGCTCACCTTTATTATGCCACTTTACACGGGAAACAGAGTGCAGGCATCTATGATCAAAGACAGCTAGTCTTTTCATGTCTTCCACTCTCAGTGGCCAGGTCTCACAACCATAAAGGAGGATGGAGCGGACTGATGAGCAGTACACTCGCCCTTTGGTCGATAGTCGAACATCTCGTCTACGCCAGAGTCGGCGTGTCTAGTCCTTTCTTTGGTGCAAACTGAATTCTATCAGTCAATCAGCTTTGCAATGTGGCCAGCATTCTAGGTAGCTTGCACTTACGGTGCACATTGATATGATGATATTAGATAGTTGGAGGCAATAGGAAGGAGAAAGCCTTGGACCTAGGTTTCGTGCTAGTTGGAACTCGTCAGAAAGGTGTATATCTGCAACCTTGAAGGAACTCATATAGAACATATTAACGGTTATTTACAGACTTTGGCGTCGGTGGTATAGCGGTTAGGATGCTCGCCGACCATGCACATGGTCCGGGGTTCCATCCCCGGTCACAGACGCACTCCTTTACCTCGCTAAGCCAGAAATAATGCTCGTAAAGAGGAAAGGTTGGGTGTGAGGCTAGCAACCCACCCTGTAAAATAAACACTGCTACAGAAACTTCAAGCCACTAGCTTGAGGCCCTATGTTCCAGTGGGGAACGTGATGGAAAAAAATCAGACTTTGGCACTAAATAACTACTGTAAATCTGTTTCATTATTGCTTGAAGAATAAATAATCGTGTTGTCCAACCGTTTTCTGTTGTTCTGCGTCAGTTACAATGCACAGTGTTCTGCACATGAAGCTAAGTCTTACGAAACCAGCAACAGGTCCAGGATCTCTGCTATCTGGATAACTGACAAGTGTTGCTAAGTGGTTCCTCGGTGAAATGTGAAGCAAGAAGTAAGACTAGTAGGCTACGCGCCTACTATCACCAATGATATTCTTACTTCTGGCGGGGATTGAATTGCTTGGAAAACCCTATGTTGGACTGATAAGAAGAATTTAGAAGATCTTGATATCAGAGGCGGACGATTTGTGTCTAATGCCACACAAACTGGAAGACTTACAGGCACAAAAAAAACCAGCAGACTGATAGGAGAAGCAACCCGGTGACCATAGGATTTAAAGTGAACACAGAGAGAAGACTGTGGAGGTGATGAAGACAACTAGCACTGTAACAACAGCAGGAAGCACCAATCACTATCAACGGGATAAATTTGAAAGAGGTCACTTATTTCACTGATCTGGCTCTGGAAGCATCGTTTTAACTACAGGCGACAGAAAGGATGCGAATTTCGAAATGAGAGTCTGAAACACAAGGCGGAGGCTTCATCACTCTGTACTATAGAACAACGAGAATATCCTCTATAGAGAAATTAAAGCAAGAATTTGAGTTTCTTGAAAAGATGTTGAAATGCAATGGGAAGGCAATGTGGGAAATCAGGCATATATCAGCGGCGAAATCCAGATCCTCCAAGTCTTTTGTGTGAGTCCATTTTATGCCTGTTTCCTCATTGCCTGTTGTCTGTCGCATTATCCAATCTACTGCAATCAGGAAAATCATTGGTGATAGTAGACAGCCTTGTCTCACTCCCATCCTCACTTCGAAGGCTTCCGTAAGTTTCCCGTTGTGGATTACTTGGCATGCAGCATTTTCGTACAACTGTTGGATGAGATGTATAATTGTCGATGGGACCCCGTAGTAGCGAAGTAGTTGCCAAATCACCTCTCGATCGACGCTGTCGAAGGCCTTTTCAAAGTCGATGAAGTTGAGATAGAGAGGTGACTGCCATTCTAAGCTTTGTTCAATGATGATGCGTAAAGTGGCGATTTGATCAATACATGACTTGTTTCTCCTGAATCCAGCTTGTTCCGGTCAGAGTTTTTCATCCAGGGCTTGTTTAATTCTCTTCAGGCTGATGCGGATTAGTATTTTGCTTGGGATAGACAGGAGCATAATTCCGCACCAGATTTTGCATTGACTTAAGTCTCGTTTCTTTGGCAGTTTGAATAAGCATCCTTTCTTCCAATCATCGGGTACTTTGCCCTCTTTCCACACCTTCTCCAGTAGTGGCGTCATCAAGTTCACTGTTGTCTCTGGGTCCATTTTCAATGCTTCTGCTGGGATTCCATCTGGTCCTGCTGATTTCCCAGCTTTTAGCATCTTGATTGCATTCAGGACTTCTGATTTCGTCGGAGGGTCGATGTTCACTGGTAGTTCTGCTTCCATTGTTGGTATTGTTGGGCGTGTTGTAGGTGGCGGTCGATTTAGAAGTCTTTTGAAGTGTTCAGCCCAGTGCTTTCTCTGTTCCACCTCTTCGGTGATTGATTTTCCATTGTCATCCTTTATTGGCTTAATCTGTATCGAACTTTTTCCCGATAGGTGCCTAGTTGTTTGGTAGACTGTGGCGAGGTCTCCTTTGCCTGCAGCTTGTTCTGCTTGACTTGATATGGTTTCATAATATTTTCTTTTGTCTTCCCTGGCACTCTTCTTCACTCTTTTGTTCAGTGTATAGTAGCTTGCATTCATCTCCTGTTTTTGTTGCTCGTCCGTGCACTGGATAATCTTTTGCTTCACTGTCCTTCTCTCTTCTATTAGTTTCCAAGTGTCCATAGTGAGCCACTGTTTGTCCTGTCTCTTTTTTCTGCCTAGAACTTCCATGCAGGTTTAACTCCACACCGTTTTCAAGTTGTTCCAGTGCTTTTCGACGCTGACCTTTTCGCTGGTGTTGATTTGTGTCTCGGCTTTTTCCCTTATGTTTGCAATGAAGATGTCCTTTGTAGCCTGTTCCTTCAGCTTTTGAGTATTGAACTTGGCTTGTGGTCTATCTGCAGCTCCTGTTTCCCTGAAAGCTTTTAATTTGATTTGGATTGTCCCTTGTACGAGATAGTGGTCTGAGCCAACGTCTGCTCCTCTTCTTGCTTTTGTGTCCAGTAGGCTGCGCCTCCACTTCCTTGAGATTGAGATGAAGTCAATTTGGTTTTTGGTTTGCCCATCTGGTGACACCCATGTAGCCTTGTGGATATCTTTGTGTTTGTATACACTGCTACCAATCACTAGTTCATTGAAGGCGCAGAAGTCGGCGAAGAGTTCTCCGTTTTCATTCATTTCTCCAAGAGCTTCTCTACCCATGATGAGTTTCCTTCCTGTGTTTTATGGTCCCAGCTTGGCGTTCATGTCTCATATTAGTATTTTAATGTCACCAGCTGGAGTATTGTCCATTGTTGCCTGTAGAATTCTTCTTTCTTGTCGAGGTCTGCGTTGTTTGTGGGTGCATAACATTGTATAATTGACAATTTCCTTCCTTTGGAGTTGAACCTGGCGGTCATTATCCTGGACGAGATCGCCTCCCATTGCATCAGTGCCTTTGTTTCCGTTGGTAACATCATGATATCCACACCCTCGGTGTGCGTGTGGTTATCTTCTGGGTGACCGGAGTAGATCACTGACTCACCCGTTGAAAATTTGGTGAGTCCACTCCCATTCCATCTGCTTTCACATATTTCCAGTACTTGAATTCCATTTCTTTTCATCTCGTTTGCGATCTGGGCAGTTTTCCCTGTCTCGTACATAGTGCGGACGTTCCATGTCCCCACACAGACTTTTTCTTTTGGTGCAAAGAGGTTCATTGTGCTGAAGATTCTGTAGCAATATTGTTTACAGGGTGGGGTTGCTAGCCTCACGCCTGAGAAAGGAATGGTTACATTAAGATAAAGTTTAGAGAGAAGCGACCTTTTGAGTTGCTCCACTTGAAATCAGATAACAAGGGATAAAACAATCAGAACAACACCAACAAAAGGAAAACAATTCACAGCAAAAAGGGCAAAAAGCGACAACAACGATACAATAAAACAACATGCAATATAGTTCAGCACAGTTAGCTAAAATGATACCAAAATCACAGACTCACTGACT